GCAAAAGCGTTGACCGAAGCACATTTTGTATGAAGCGCGTTTTAATTCAACTTGATAAAATTACCTTTGAATTAGCAATGTAAAAAATAATTGCATTAAAAGTGCCTACTCGATGGTTTAACAAACAAAAAAGCAGTAACAATGTATTGAAATAGTCAAGAATTTAAACCATTCATGATCATTTATTGTCTCGGTAAAATATATTGAAGATACTTTAAAGTTTAAATCGAATATAAACTTTGTTTTAGTAAATATTTATCGTATAACTCTTTTTGTGATGAAATTTCGTTCAGCCAATTAGCCAACTAGAACTCTTTCCCGTTTTTGCTTGAGCGTTTTCGATTACTTTCAAAAAATGGTATATAATATGCAAATAATATTAAAAATATTTTACTCACCTCCGACAATATCGATACACATACTCATAAGGAAGATGATAAAACCTGCATATTTTGAAATCTCCATGTCTAATTTGTTTTAAAGCACATTAAGCAATAACCATGGTTGCCTTGCCTGTGTTCTCTTTCGGATTTACTGTGTTTTCGTTCATTATTTTGTACATAAATTAGACTGTTGTTTTTCTCGTTTTAATTGTTTTACATTTTTCATTTCGGGGCCTTTTATAGCTAACTATACGGTATGGGTTTTGTTCATTGTTGAAGGCCGTATGGTGACCTAAAAATACATTTTTCCGCTTGTGTGAAAAAGGAGGGTGTTGATTGAATTATATATTTTTTTCAAAATACGGTATCTCTCCGTTAACACTTCTCTCGCTTTTTTAAATGTCTAAAAGTTTGTTTCCTTGTTTCAGATGATAAACTGTTAACACAGAGATATGTCTCGCCTATTTGTTATTTTGATAATGCAAATGTTGAAATTAAAATAGCCATTCTTTAACATGTAAGTTATGCAAATATTCAAAGTCAATGGAAGGTACAGGGCTAAACAATCTCCATGGAAATGCGATGTGCCAATGCTAATACAACTGCAAACCAAGTACCATTGACTTTTCATAAGTCGTTCCCTTTAAACAAACCTAAACACAAACAGTAACTTGTAAACTATGTAAAAGTTTCAAAGTCAATGAACCATAATTAGGGGGTGGGGTTATATAATCTCTATTAAATGAAACTTGCAAATGCCAATACATTTGCATACTGAATATCATTGACTTAACATTAGTGGTTCATCTTAAACTGACCTAATCACACACTAATACATGTAAACTAAGCAAAAGTTTCAAAGTCAATAAACCATGACTGAGGGTTAAGGACCAAATATTCTCCATGAAAATGATATGTGCTAATGCTTATACAACTGCATATCAATTATCATTGACCTAACACTAACAGTTCCCCTTTAACTGACCTAATCACAAACTAATACATGAAAACTAAGCAAAAGTTTCAAAGTCAATAGACCATGAATGAGGGGGCGGGGCCAAATAATCTCCATAAAAATGAGATATGTCAATGCTTATACAACTGCATACCAAATATCATTGACCTACCACTAGTGGTTCCCCATAAACTGACCTAATCACAAACTAATACATGTAAACTAAGCAAAGTTTCAAAGTCAATAGACCTTGGCTGAGGGGCGGGGCAAAATAATCTCCATAGTAATGAGATGTGCCAATGCTAATACAACTGCATACCAAATATCATTGACCTACCACTAGTGGTTCACCATGAACTAGACCTAATCACAAACTAATACATTGTTGACGCCGCCGCCGCCGTCGCCGTCGCCGTCGCCGGAAACAGCATAACTATGTCCCGCTTTTTGACACGCAATTATTTACTAATACACATACCTCTTGCTTATTTACTAAACGGAGAATTTTTTTAACAAAGCTTACAACATACAAATAAACAATTTATAGAAAAAGGGCAACTGATAAAATTATCTTTGAATTAGCAATGTAAATAATATTTGTATCAAAAGTGCCTACTCGCTGGTTTAACGAACAAAAAACTTGAGCAGTAACAATTTAATAAAATAGTAAAGAATTTAAACCATTCATGATCATTTATTGTCTCGGTAAAATATACAAAAACAAACAATTTACAGAAAAAAGGGCAACACTCATGTTTGTTTGTGTAAAATCTCATGTCAGTATCAAACACAGACAATCTCTAGTCAAAATTAGACAAGGACAAGACAATCTCAGGTCAGTATCAGACAAAGACAATCCCAGGTCAGTATCAGACAAAGACAATATCAGGTCAGTATCAGACAAAGACAATCCCATGTCAGTATCAAACAAAGACAATCTCAGGTCTGTATAAGACAAGAGTGCACACGCTGAAATGTCTCGCCTTCTTTACTAATCATTGATATTATGTTGATAGTCCTAAATACAAAGCTTTATTACAACTGTCACATAAACTTAACATTAACAAAGTAAACTAAACATTGACCAATGAACCATGAAAATGAGGTCAAGGTCAGATGAACCATGCTAGGCAGGCATGTACAGCTAACAATTCTTCCATACAACAAATATAGTTGACCTATTGCTTATAGTTTAAGAAAAACAGACGAAAACACAAAAACTTAACACTGAGCAATGAACCTTGAAAATGAGGTCAAGGTCAAATAAAACCTGCGTGACTGACATATAGATCATAAAATATTTCCATACACCAAATATAGTTGAACTATTGCATATAGTATTAGAAAAAAAGACCAAAACTCAAAAACTTAACTTTGACCACTGAACCATGAAAATGAGGTCAAGGTAAGATGACACCTGCCAGCTAGACATGTACACCTTACAATCATTCCATACACCAAATATAGCTGACCTATTGCATGCAGTATTAGAAAGAAAGACCAAAACTCAAAAACTTAACTTTGACCACTGAACCATGAAAATGAGGTCAAGGTCAGATGACACCTGCCAGCTAGACATGTACACTTTACAATCATTCCATACACCAAATATAGTAGACCTATTGCATACAGTATAAGAAAAACAGACCAAAACACAAAAACTTAACTATAACCACTGAACCATGAAAATGAGGTCAAGGTCAGATGACACCTGCCAGTTGGACATGTACACCTTACAGTCCTTCCATACACCGAGTATACTAGACCTATTGCTTATAGTATCTGAGATATGGACTTGACCACGAAAACTTAACCTTGTTCACTGATCCATGAAATGAGGTCGAGGTCAAGTGAAAACTGTCTGACGGGCATGAGGACCTTGCAAGGTACGCACATACCAAATATAGTTATCCTATTACTTATAATAAGAGAGAATTTAACATTACAAAAAATCTGAACTTTTTTTTCAAGTAGTCACTGAACCATGAAAATGAGGTCAAGGACATTGGACTTGTGACTGACGGAAACTTCGTAACATGAGGCATCCATATACAAAGTATGAAGCATCCAGGTCTTCCATCTTCTAAAATATAAAGCTTTTAAGAAGTTAGCTAACGCCGCCGCCGCCGCCGCCGCCGCCGCCGCCGGATCGCTATCCCTATGTCGAGCTTTCTGCGACAAAAGTCGCAGGCTCGACAAAAACGACAATCTCAAGTCAATATCAGACAAGAACAATCTCAGGTCAGTATCAGACAAGAACAATCCAATGTCAGTATCAGACAAGAACTATCCAATGTCAGTATCAGACAAGAACAATCTCAGTTAGTATCAGACAAGGACAATCTCGGTCAGTATCAGACGAGTACAATCTCATGTCAGTATCAGACGAGAACATCTCATGTCAATATCAGACGAGTACAAGCTCATGTCAGTATAAGACGAGTACAATCTTATATCAGTATCAGACGAGTTCAATCTTATATCAGTATCAGACGAGTACAATCTCATGTCAGTATCAGACGAGAACATATCATGTCAATCTTAGACGAGTACAAGCTCATGTCAGTATCAGACGAGTTCAATCTTATATCAGTATCAGACGAGTACAATCTCAGTCAGTATCAGACGAGAACATCTCATGTCAATATTAGACGAGTACAAGCTCATGTCAGTATCAGACGAGTTCAATCTTATATCAGTATCAGACGAGTACAATCTCATGTCAGTATCAGACGAGAACATATCATGTCAATATTAGACGAGTACAAGCTCATGTCAGTATCAGACGAGTTCAATCTTATATCAGTATCAGACGAGTACAATCTCAGTCAGTATCAGACGAGAACATCTCATGTCAATATTAGACGAGTACAATCTCAGTCAGTATTAAACGAGTATAGTCTCATGACAGTATTAGACGAATAAAATCTCATGTCAGTATCAGACTTTGAACTCAGATAATTATTAGACAAGACCAATCTAAGGTCAGTTTAAGACTATGAATTCAGGTCAGTATCAAACTAAAACGTTCTCTGGTCAGCGTAAGATAAATATAGGAAGTCACCTTTTTATTAAAATCAATTAGCATGTTTGTGAAAAGAACATTGCACAAGGTCATACGTTTCTCAGATTGTTTATGACGTCTTTACACTATAAATCTGCTGGATGGTTGCTGATTGATACTTAAGTCTGGGAGAACATGATTTATTTATAAGTTGTTATTGGCTTTGAACTAGCTTTCAGTAACTGGGCGTGCTCTTATTTCGGTGCTTTGTTTCTATTGTTTTTATGTTTGTTTTTGTGCTTCGTACCGATCTTTTGAGTTCAGGCAATTGCTACTGATTTTTGCAGTTGTAAAGTTGTACTTATGTTATGCTGTTACACCACTGTCCCAGGTTAGGGGAATGGTTGAGCGCTTACAGGCATATTTAACCCCGACACATTCTTTATGTGCCTGTCCCAAGTCAGGTTTCGTAAATTTTGTTATAAATTAGGCCGTTGGTTTTCTCGTTTGAATTCTTTCACATTTTTGAAGTCTTAATTGCTTACATCCACTTCATTTGAACTCTGGTGGATAGTTGTCTCATTGGCAATCATACCAAATCTCCTTATTTTTATAGAAATTCGTTAGAAAAACTGCAGTATAGAATAAATAAGAAATATTGTGAAACAAGACTATTATTTCAATACATTACATAAAGTGGTTACAAAACTATCAAAATGTGTATAAAACTAGATACTAGTATATATATATATATATTCTACCACAACATAATGTTAAATGTCACTTTGAACTTCAACCTGTGAAAAACTCAGAACAAGGACACAACATTGAATATCAAAACTAAATAACCAGTGAGGATAGTTTAAATCTGCTAGAAATAAAAGTAAAACTTGTACTGAATAACACAAGTAAATACCTGTAACAAAATTACATCGTTTAATTAAACCTACTTAATTAAACAACTTTTCTCAGAGTATAGACTTGTTTACAGATTGTAGCATAGTATAACATCATTATACAAAATTATATACATATAAGCTGTTTTCTGTGTCATTTGGTCTCTTGTGGAAAGTTGTCTCATTGGTAGTCATACCACATCTTATTTTTATATAGTAATTTAGTATCTAAAGAGGTCGTATCTGAAATTACCTGCAGAGGGTAGGATTTGTTAATTATTCAATTCAGGGAGAAAATGAATTCATTTGTTATCATTGCATGTGTACAGAGAAGATTTGTTAAAAAAATAAATATTCCTGCATGTTATACCCTCTTTTTAAATTTCAAATTGTTACTGAGCAGTAATGACTTAGATATAAATGTAAAATATGCATTGAGTTTGTTTGTAAACAGGATGTTCGACTTGAATCTGTCTTCAAAACCAAACGCATAACAGTAACTATTTATTTATAAAAATAGGAATATGGTTGCATATGAGACAAGTTTCCACCAGAGACCAAATGAGGTAGAGGTTAGTAAAAGAGAGGCGAAAGATACCAAAGGAACATTCAAACTCATAGGTCGAAAAAAAACTGACAACGCCATGACTATAGAAGAAAAAGACCAACAGACAAACAATAGTACACAAAACACAACAGAGAAAACTAGACTGAACAACACGAACCCCACCAAACACTGGGGTGATCTCAGGTGCTCCGGAAGGGTAAGCATGTCCTGCTCCACATATAGTAACTATAGGTCAACGTTAGTAATTATTGAGTAGCTCGTGTTGCCTAAAAATAGTACTAACTTTACTTAGTACTCGAGATATATACTTGCATACATATATCAAAGTTATCACTTGGTTCTGTAGATCAGAACAGCTCCTAAAATTTAATTTTAGCTAAAATTGAACCAGACAAAAACACTAAAACTTACAAAGAGAAATCAACGAGCAAAAAACTAGAAATGAGGAAAAAGTGCTGGGACTATTATACTGTTGGTATAACAGTCCCAGATAAGTGTAAGTAATCGAAGTTTTTTTGGAGAGGGGAGGAAAGGGGGGTGTGTAAATTTGACAAGTTGTACACCAAGCCTTGTGTATAAAGGCATGTATGAATATATGTCGCTGCAAAGATGTATAGAAGATTTATTTCAGGATAACTCTCATTATTTACAAAAAACACGTATAATCAACCGAATTCAGAAAGCGGTTGATATATTCAAACGTGACAACCTTGAAGCTTAAATAACCATTCATTATAAAAATATATATATTAGCCCCGAGTTATTTATGTACAAATACGTCTTCTTTGTTTATTTGTTTATTTAGTTATGAGATATTTGTCGATTAAGTTGCTGGAAAGGGGTAAAGCTGTACTTTTATTTTATAGATCAATTGTATTTTCCTGCAATTCAATACGATATTGTTTATATAGGTTCGCTTCACGTAAATATAATTCATATGAAGATCAGCGAGAACTACTGTACATATATGGCGATAGCAGATCTATGCAAATCTACATAAAAGAGTAAAATTGTCGATTATTGTTCAGAGTGAGAGTGTTTGATAAAAAGTAATTGCATCCCGCTGGTGTTCGTTGTTCGCCTTTCTCTGTATCTGGTCTATGACAGTAGTAATCTCTGCACTGCCATCACGGCGATAAGTAATCCAAAATATATTCTGGGTATGTCTGTACTGTTACACAACTTATCGATACAATCACAGACCTGTCCGTCACGACGCATCTCTCTGCAACCTGTTATCACTGATTCCACACACTCCCGTACCACGAAAGTTCCTAAAACAAAGTTTACTTTTTTTATTTTGTCTCCATTGGGAACAATTGCATTTGAGGTGTGTGTATGATATCTCTTATTTTGAATATTGTCTCCATGGATTTATAACATCTTTAAATACGATCATTAAGCATCATTGTCACTTATTTATTTTGGGGTATTCCTTTGAATGCCGTATATACACAGAGAAATTTCACTAACGTGAATTTCACGTTAATTGAGATTCGTGTGAATCTCACGTGAAATTCTAATTCTACTGAATTTCACCTCAAACGAGCTTATACGAGAAACTCACATGAACTCATTTCACGTGAGTTTCCATCGTGAATCTCATTTGAAACTAACATGAAAATCACATGATTTTTTTTTCACATGAAATTCACATCAATTTTCAAATTAAATTAAATTCATGCAAAATACCATTTCATGTGAGATCCATATACATCTCATTTTGATTGACTGATTGTTGTTTATTTGCGTTCAGTAGCACATATTTCATGCATATTTAGGACGAGAACAAATTGATAATAAATCAAATAGGCATAAGAATGGATTGACTCGGATAAAGGACAGGGATTTCGACTGCCGCTTAAAATGAAGTTATGTTGGATAGGAACAGAAATGTTGCCTTCCAACAGGCCACTTAAGGAACACTAAAGGAGTTCTTAACGTGCCGAAAGTGTGGCATTCTCCTTACACAAGGCATCTGATTTGATGCACCCATTTAGAAAGAATGCGAAATTATACATCCTGCACAGCCAAACGGATTCTCCTCTATAGCATGTCCCAGTCACCACACAAGGCCGTGTTTGGTTTTGATGGAAAGATATGAATATCTTCATCTTAACTGTCAAATGGCAATTCTTGTGTCTTTACAGTCTGACAGTAGTTTACCGATGTTAAAATCTCGAGAATCGACCAAGAAGAGACAAATCAAGGTAACTAAGAAACAAAGCCTGATGGAGTTGTATGAACTCCATATGCATCACCCGCTATACGAAGATCTGCGTCAGTCTGTTGAATGCTCTGATATAAGCCTAAAGATGTAAGTCAACCTAATCGTGCTAATGTTACTTTGAATCTTTTGGGAACATATGAAAAAGATGATATTCATGTGTGTGCGTTTTGCGAAACCCCATGTTTTTCGAACGTTAAATATTTTATGAGAAACAGCATTGACAGATCTGAGTGTGTCATGGTCTGCGTTTCACCAACTGTGATTGTAGTGCTAAAACCAGGTTTAACGCCAATTTAGTATATTTTTTTTTAATTATCAAAACTATATTTAAATGCAAGCGTTAAAATTCAGCAATTATCATAGGTAAAACTGGACTGTTATTCGATACTACAATGGCTCAGTTTTATGAACATTTCATTCTATAAAACAATTTCCGGCATTTTGAACAGTGCCTTAAAAATTCTATTTTCTAGGCATTTATTAAAATGCCTGAACTTTACAAAATGCCTAAATTTAGAAGATTCCTGTTACATATACGATATAATATAAAGCTTTATTTAAAAAAGCTCTGTCACATTTACATGTGAAAAAAAGAGGTAAACATATACAAAATACAGTCTTATTTATATCCGGAGATCACAGTAGAAAGAAATAAAACAACTCTAAAATAAAATATATAAATGATTACTATACGTTATAAAACTTTAAATTTGACACGAATAAATATACATTTTTAGTACCTTTATATTACACAATGAAAGCAATCCTTTCAGTGTTGCTGTGCTAGGATATATCACCTAGTACTCAGGAATGTGCATGTAATGGTACATTAGCTAATCTAATATATTCAATATTTCTTTAATGCTGTTATTTTCCAGCTGATTCTTTTAGGACCACAATGTTGAACTTTAATATAATTTGTTTTCGTAGACAAATTTAGAAATTATTAAGAAGCAAATAAAGGTTCCAACTCTCTCGTGTAAAGTTGACATTAAATGAATCTGGTTATTGTATATGTACCACGTGGTATGCATGCAGCCAGTTTAAGTGATTGAATATATACATGTTTGTGTCTCATTTCTCATACGTTTATAAAACATTACATGCATGTGATGCTATTTTTATCATCTGGTTTGATTGATTGACAAATGCTTAACGTTCAACGGGAAATATTACATGCATTGTAGGACATAACGAGTATAGGTCATTGTCGTATGGATTGTCCTAAAAAAAAGCAATCAGTGGAGTTAATTTTTAAAATGAAACATTTCGCACTACCCTTCAAGAATAAATTATTTGTCTTCTAGTCGACCAATTTCTGCCTTAACTTCTAAATGTTACATGCATTTGGTTGCAAAAAGTTGATTTCAAACCTGCATCACTGTGGATCGAGGTTAGCACATACAAAAGATCACCGGTGCGTTTGCGCCAGTATACATATATCAGATCTCAACCAGCGTCTATTAATTAATTGTTTTATACGTTATTCGATCTTTCAGCGGACGTTATTAGTACCTGCAAAGTCCTCCACTGTCGTTTTCCTGCAGACCTGACCTTCCTTGCATGTTGTTATCAGCTGTTTGTTTTCAGCTTGAACTTTAGTATATCCAAATGTTTCTCCACATTGACCATCTTGTCGTGAGTCACAGGTGTAACACTTCAGCATTTTCCCTACAATATAAAAATAAGAAGATGTGGTATGATTGCAATGAGATAACCAACCACCAGAGAATAAACGACATAGAAGTTAACTATAGGTCACCGTACGGCCTTCAACAATGAGCAAAACACATACCGCATAGTGACTCAGCTATAAAAGGCCCCGAAATGACAAATGTAAAACGTTTCAACCGAGAAAACTAACGGCCTGATTTATGTACAAAACAATTAACGAAAAACAAATATGATATACAACAACAAACGACAACCACCGAATTACAGCCTCCTGGCTTGGGACAAGAATATACAGAATGTCAATTATCGAATCGAGTCTGAAATAATATATTGTCTTACAATAGCTTCTAGGCCTAAATACCAATACACAAGTGGCTTACAAAGCTAACAAGTCTGAAATGAGATGCTGTCTTAGAATAAATTTCTTCTACTAAATACTAATACACAAGTCGCTTCCAAAGCTAACAAGTCTAAAATGAGATGTTGTCTTAAAATAACTTCTAGGCCTAAATATCAATACACAAGTGGCTTCCAAAACTAACAAGTCTGAAATGAGATGTTGTCTTAGAATAACTTCTAGGCCTAAACACCAATACACAAGTGGCTTCCAAAACTAACAAGTCTGAAATGAGATGTTGTCTTAGAATAACTTCTAGGCCTAAATATCAATACACAAGTGGCTTTCAAAGCTAACAAGTCTGAAATGATATGTTGTCTTAGAATAAATTTCTTCGACTAAATACTAATACACAAGTCGCTTCCAAAGCTAACAAGTCTAAAATGAGATGTTGTCTTAAAATAACTTCTAGGCCTAAATATCAATACACAAGTGGCTTCCAAAACTAACAAGTCTGAAATGAGATGTTGTCTTAGAATAACTTCTAGGCCTAAATACCAATACACAAGTGGCTTCCAAAACTAGCAAGTCTGAAATGAGATGTTGTCTTAGAATAACTTCTAGGCCTAAATATCAATACACAAGTGGCTTTCAAAGCTAACAAGTCTGAAATGATATGTTGTCTTAGAATAAATTTCTTCGACTAAATACTAATACACAAGTCGCTTCCAAAGCTAACAAGTCTAAAATGAGATGTTGTCTTAAAATAACTTCTAGACCTAAATATCAATACACAAGTGGCTTCCAAAACTAACAAGTCTGAAATGAGATGTTGTCTTAGAATAACTTCTAGGCCTAAATACTAATACACAAGTCGCTTCCAAAGCTAACAAGTCTAAAATGAGATGTTGTCTTAAAATAACTTCTAGGCCTAAATATCAATACACAAGTGGCTTCCAAAACTAACAAGTCTGAAATGAGATGTTGTCTTAGAATAACTTCTAGGCCTAAATACCAATACACAAGTGGCTTCCAAAACTAGCAAGTCTGAAATGAGATGTTGTCTTAGAATAACTTCTAGGCCTAAATATCAATACACAAGTGGCTTTCAAAGCTAACAAGTCTGAAATGATATGTTGTCTTAGAATAAATTTCTTCGACTAAATACTAATACACAAGTCGCTTCCAAAGCTAACAAGTCTAAAATGAGATGTTGTCTTAAAATAACTTCTAGACCTAAATATCAATACACAAGTGGCTTCCAAAACTAACAAGTCTGAAATGAGATGTTGTCTTAGAATAACTTCTAGGCCTAAATACCAATACACAAGTGGCTTCCAAAACTAACAAGTCTGAAATGAGATGTTGTCTTAAAATAACTTCTAGGCATAAATACCAATACACAAGTGGCTTCTAAAACTAACAAGTCTGAAATGAGATGTTGTCTTAGAATAACTTCTAGGCCTAAATACCAATACACAAGTGGCTTCCAAAACTAACAAGTCTGAAATGAGATGTTGTCTCAGAATAACTTTATTTTAAATGAACAGTTCAAAAAATCATTCACAACTGTAACAGATGATCCAATACCAGATAAGGGCGTCAGTAAACATCCACAGATGCCTGATATTAAAATACAAAAACAGGCATAGAAAAACTTCTAAATAACATCAATATCAAAAAAGCAGCTGGGCCTGATCTCATCCATGGAAAAATTTTAAAAGAGTGTAAGACATCTATCACTCCCATCTTGTCAATCATATTCCAAACATCACTGAACTCTGGAAAGATCCCAGATGACTGGCGTCACGCAAGTGTATGTCCAGCATTCAAAAAAGGCGACAAACACGACCCTATAAACTATCGCCCCATATCATTGACTTGCATCTGCTGCAAACTATTAGAACATGTTGTAGCTAGTAATATAATGAAACATCTGGAAAAAAATAAAATACTATATGACTTACAACATGGTTTTCGATCATCTCGCTCCTGTGAAACTCAGCTAATATCATTTATTCAAGATCTTGCAAATTCAAATAATAAAAACATTAAAACAGACATCATAATAATGGATTTTGCAAAAGCATTTGATAAAGTTTCACACCACCATCTCATGTATAAAATCGGTTTCTACGGTATAAATTGCAATGCATTACATTGGATTCAAGATTTTTTAACAAACAGAACACAAACAGTAGTCATTGAAGGTGAAACATCAAATAAAATTCCTGTAACATCTGGGGTACCTCAAGGCACAGTGCTTGGTCCAATTTTATTCTTAATATTTATAAATGATTTGGCAGAATATATTGAACATAGTACATTAAGATTGTTCGCAGATGACCGTATTATTTATAGGGAAATTAAAAAACCAGATGACACATATAAATTACAGTCTGACTTGGAAGCGGCCGGCAGATGGGAGCAGGACTGGCTCATGCATTTTCACCCTGATAAGTGCAACATTCTCAGTGTAACTCAAAAACGCAAACCTTTAGACTTCACTTATAAATTACACAATCACTCTCTAGAAAAAGTTGACTCTACAAAATATTTAGGCCTAACTCTTCAATCAAATTTAAAATGGGACAAACATATCGACAACATGACATCAAAAGCAAATCAGTCTCTTGGATTTATTTGTAGAAACCTTAAAATAGCCTCACCTAAAGTTAAAGCACATGCATTTAAAGCTCTTGTCCGACCAAAACTAGAGTACTGCTCAACTATTTGGGATCCACATCAAAAACAGCAAATTTCACACATTGAAAAAGTTCAGAGAAGAGCAGCGCGCTTCTCATGCAACCGCTTCCATAACACCAGCTCAGTTACTGAAATGATGACAGACTTAAATTGGTACCCACTTGAAATTAGGCGTTTACGATACAGACTTGTCTTCTTCTACAAAATTATACATGAAATTGTTGCAGTCCCTACATATAACCCTTTGATCCCACTAGACAATAGAACTAGACATAGCAAACCACACTCATTTAGGCAAATACAAACATCTAAAGACAGTTATAAATATTCATTTTATCCACGAACAGTTATAGATTGGAATCTTCTGCCACAACAAATAGTATCATGCAGTACAGTACAGGGATTCAAGAGTATGAGCTCAGAATCTGTTCTCATCCCCATTTTCTATCCCTAACTATTGTTATCAAATGTATATAGTTTTATCTAAATGAAAAAATTTTCAAATGCACATACATTATTTTGATTTTTTGATTTTGTTTCTTTTTATTTTTCTTGCAACGATGTAAATTATAAAATTTTATAGTCGACGCCCGGCGAATAATCTTCAATAATTGAAGGATCGCTAGAAACTTAAAGAAGAAGAACTTCTTGGCCTTAATAACAATACACAAGTGGCTTCCAAAACTAATAATTCTGAAATGAGATGTTGTCTTAGAATAACTTCTAGGCCTAAATATCAATACACAAGTGGTTTCCAAAGCTAACAAGTCTGACATGATGATGCACTGTCCTAGAATAACCTCTAAATACCAATAAACAAGTCGCATCCATTGCCAACAAGACTTATATGACATACCCGTAGAAAACAAATTATAATAGCGATTCATAAGTTTTCAAAACCCACGTCAACAAATAAAATACATATATTCAACTTACCTTCAACAATATTTGCTAGGAAAATAATACAAAATGCAAATTGTGAAATCTCCATCTTAAGTTGTATCCTTCGTATTCCTATATAGCAATGTCTAACACATATAGATGTGGCCTTGTTTCGATCAATCGATACACAATGCTTTAACACTGATGGATCGATTCTGGGATGTTCAGGAATAGTAATCAATGCAATTAATTTACTGAGAATCACCCATACGTATCTTTTTAGTAAACACTGTTTACTGAGCAGTTTATTTTTTATGAATTTATCTCTCTTATCAAACGTGCCTCCCAGTGAAGAATAACTGACAACTGACTATCTATTAACCAACATTTCAAAACCGAGGTCGACTATATCGGGATATTTCATATGACAACCAAGGAATTTTAACTAGTATTTTGTCAACACAAAAATACAATTGAAATTTGAGAACATTGTATACGCATTTGAAGTGTGCCATTCATACTAATGAATTCAGGCGGTTTGATTTTCAAATTATGCTAATGTAACGGTGCTTCCTTTGACCTTGGTCAATTACTTCAAATAAAAATAATCATATTTTGTAAAAAATGCATCATTTAATCAGATTATTATATAGATATAGTTAAATGAACTGTTGACACAGAGATATGTCTCGTCGGTATGTAATTTTAATAGCAAAATGTAAATGTTTAAATAAGGTAGCTGGGTGTCTAACTGTTCGACAATCGATCAATCAAATGTTTTATTTAAAGTCGGCTTGTCATAAAACAATAACATAAGCTCTTTGAGCTTTTATAACCGACAAATACATGAATATACAAAATAAACACACATAATACTGCTGTAAAAGCATAATAGACATAAAACATATATTCCATGCAAAGTTAGGCAAGGCTGAATAATGTTGAATAATACGCACTAAGCTAAAAGCTACAAGTAGCATTAAAGCAGCAACATAAAACACTAAAGCACAGCAGTCACAAATTACAAAAACACTCAGCAAATAAAACGCAAAAAAAGAGTGGAAGTGTAATAAGTAGCACTACTATGTTTCAAAGCTGTAATTTAAAGCATACAAATAAATATTAAATTTTGATACATGAAAGAGTATTTTGTTTCTTTAATATTTATAATATTATGTAGGTATTTTGGATTTTCCTTATTCACTGTTCTAAATACCTCTATTGCCATGGTTCTTATGCGTCTTACTTTTAGAGAAGGCATTTTTTGATATCTACAAAATTATTTTATTTACCTGTGTACGTTATTTCATTTGGTGGCATTTTGTCCAAGGTTATGGTTGTCGTTCTGAAATAGTTTTAAATCTAACCCCCTTGCTTTATTAATTTTGTATTTACATTGTGTCATAGATCAAATTTATTCGTTCAGTTTATGTTCATTTGTTTTTGTTAATATGTCTTTTGATTGAGTTAAGCCATTTCAATTGATATTTTATAGTGTGTCTTTCTATGTTGTGATGTTACACTATTGTTTCAGGTAGGGTGATGGTTGGCGCCTATTAAAACGTTTAAACCCGCTGCATTTGTATGCACCTGTCCTAAGTCAGGAACCTGATGTTCAGTGGTTGTCGTTTGTTGGTGTGGTTCATAAGTGTTTCTCGTTTCTCGTTATTTATATAGATTAGACCGTTGGTTTTTCTGTTTGAATGGTTTTACACTAGTCATTTTTAGGGCCCTTTATAGATTGCTGTTCGTTGTGAGCCAAGGCTACGTATTGAAGGCCGTACTTTGACCTATAATGGTTTACTATTACAAATTGTGACTTGGATGGAGAGTTGTCTCATTGGCACTCATACCACATCTTCTTATATCTACTTATTACCTTAAACGTCTGTTAAATACTTCTGGGTCAATGTACTTTTAAATTTCAATATAAAAACTGGGTGTCCCTATATTCACTAAACCCTCATTTGCCAGTGCCAGTGCCAGTTTATATTACCCTGACCTTCATCCCGGACGACATCTATTACAGCACCTACCTATTGTATTTGTGTTAATTTGTTCTCGTCCATTAATCATTAACTTGCATGAAATATTTGCCACCGGACGTTAAGCAACCAACAATCAATCAATCATAAAATAACCTTATCACAAACTTTATCAAACGGTTGACCCGCCGCTGCCGAAAACGGCATACATAAGTCTCGCTGACAAAAATTAACCAAATAAATATTTTTACGACTACGAATAAAAAAATCCATTAAATGAAATAATCAGTATCAACAGATATGTTGTCAATAAAATATCGGCATTTTTAATGATATCAAATTACTCAGTTTTACTTGTTGGAATTAGTGTGGCTCTTCAAAAGTTAAGATTTTCATAACCTGAAACAAGGGATCTTTTATTTGAGCATGGTTCAAAGTAGTGTAGAGCGTAGAAAAATCAAAAGTGTTGATATTACTGCAACAAAGGGTTCGTATAGTACTATACAAATCCTTGCTGCCACATTATAAAATTTATAATTTTAGAAATTGGAGTAGATCTTTCAAATTTTTAAGAATTCACATCTGATTGACGAAACCTTTTGAATTTAGGTCATCTCAAAATTTCTGAAGGATATCTTTTAACTGTAGAAAGAATGGAGGCTAGAACTTTAGAAAGATCTTTCATGGGACATGTAGACGACCCGGCTGTATATCGTTATTTATCAAGATTTTTATGCAGTTAGGCTATCCAGTAAAAAGACGGGATATTTTCATCGTACCTTTTTCTGTTCAAACCATAGAAGAGGATGACGGACTTATGATTTTTTTTTTAAGTTTCTTCTTTTGTGAATGGTGTATGATGGATTCCCAGATTTGCTGTTAATTTCAAGTTCTTGAGTTGGAGATTCCAAATTATGTTTTTTTTCATACAAAAACAATATTGTATGAGGCTTAGTCTACTGGATCAACATACTATTTGTCGTGAAGCGATGATGAAGAATCAACAAGCTGAAACGTATTGAAAGAGTTAGAAACCAATTTTCTAAAAATACAGTGTTGTTTTAAACGCGATTCTGATTGCAAGACCGAACAGCTTTGATCCATCAGATAAAATGTTCAGTTTGGGTATCATGTGAATTGAGCGGCCGGTTCGTTATTCGATACTCAATGATAAAGCACAATTTTCACTTTATAATGTACATATAGATTTACGTTTAAACAAAAACGAACGGATACTGCAATAACATGTGAAAAAACAAATAGATATCACTATGGAAAAACAAAAAAAGGACATTTTCGAAACTTATTGTCTTCAATATTTAAGGAGGACTCTCTAAGTGTCAGTTTGATATTCAAAATATATTGTAATAGATAACCGGGAACTCTAAGATGACTGTTCTTATTCATAATTTTACAGGAATTATCAAACAATTTATATATTAGTTGGGTATGAAGCAGTATAAGTCGATCACATACTATCATGAATCTAAAGGTGCTTTAGGAAGGTTTCATCTGACCTTGTTTTGAATTTGAAAAGGATTTAATAATGTAGTTTGTTTACTTCTGTTTACTGCTAGGTAATCTGTACATGAATCTTTAATTTTAGGTGTCAATCCGTTTGAGCTCATGTTTGGTCAAACTGTTAGGGCCAAATTAAACTTTTGAAAGAATGGAGGTAAGATGATACACAGAAAATATTTTGTAAACATGTATCTGAATTTAAAAAAAAAACAACTTCATAAAGCCTGTTAAAAAGCCAAAAAAAGTTTCAGTAAAATTCAAGGTAAAAATGAAAGTTTGGTATAATAAGCATGCCAGAGAAAGAAGTTTCAGCAAGGTGACAAAGTATAATTATTTTGACCAATTCCAGGTAATCTACTTGATGCTAGGCACTATGGGTCATACAGCATTGACCAACATTCAATGATATTGAATAATTATGTTATAAATACTCCCAGGAGCATCAAAGAAAAAGGATAAACCTGTTGTAAAATGTTATGATGTTAGTAGATCATATCGGACTGCATCGCAAAATGTTGAATGTAATTATGTTATCAAACATTGATGTCTCTTGAAATAAGTTCCCTTTTGTGTTTTATAAAATTCTGATATGACATTGCGGACTTATGGAACCTTATTAGTTTCAAAATCGTCGAAAACGGTCCATTTTCCACACTTTGGAAAGTTGAAAAACTTTATTCATTCAAAATCGAGGCCACAAACTTAGATGAACTTGAGGTAGCCGCCTTAATAGTGCCAAATTGTTCATGTTTTGTGTCAATAGGTACCATTGTGTGTGCTTCTTTTTTTCTTTTTTTTTTTTTTTGGGGGGGGGGGTCTTTACAACTCTTTGATCAGTGGTCACAGTATTTCTTTTTGATCATGTAAATTTATTTAAAGCAGAAAGACGAGCTAAAAAGGGCGACGGGAAGGGTAAGCAGATCCTGATCCACATGTGGCATCCGTCTTGTTGCTCATGATGTAAGTACAAACCCTGTGATAAGTCTAATTCGGTAGGTCACATGCGATGAAAAGAGGACGGGATTGTAGTAACGACAAAAGGAACATTGTAAGTGATGCAGAACCGATTTATAAGCAATATCCATGACCAGTCAATCCCATAAAACCACAGTACGTTCAAAAAGAAATTTATTATATGCTAGAAAATTGAGCATAGTGAGTGAGTCACCCGCTGTTGTTTAGTTTTAAAACCCTGATAAGTCATACAGATTTGTTGCAGATTTTAGGAAAATCAAAATTTTGGCAAAAACGAGATGCTTATCCTATCCATAAGATTAACGATTGGATACACAAAACAAGGACGCACAATTTGTAAGTAAATTTGACCTCTTGAAACGTGATTAGCACATTCCTTTTACAGATATGGTCAAAAGGTGTCTGCTTCTGTTACGCATAACGGTTTGAACTACTATAATTTAATGATTATTTAACTGAAAAACTCTCAAGACTTATTAACAAAATTCTCATTTGATTTGAATAGTCGTCCAGGGGACATGGATGACAATTAAACTCATTAAAGATAGCGATTAAAATTGTGTATGCCAGACGCTCGTTTCGTCTACAAAACACTCATCAATAAAGCTAATAGGCCAAATAAAGTACGAAGTTGAAGAGCATTTATTATCATTTACAGTGATTTACAAAAAATGCGTATGTTAAAGATTATCACAAGTAAATGTAACAGTTAATTTAAGTTGCAGGTGAATTTTGTCCAGGAACTTTTTTATTGGTGAAGATCGAATTAAACCCATCTTGTCAAAAGTAATGCGTTTGATGATTTATAGTCTAGATGTAACAAGAAGGAACTTATGGATTAGTGGGAATAGCTAGATACCACAGAAAATTGTGTTCAATTTATTTAAGG